GCGTCTTGCCATGTCGCGAAAACAGCATCCCAGTACCGTCTCGGCTCTTCTTTCGCATGTCCGACATGCCCACTTTTCTCGAACAGCACTTCAGTGACAGGCATACCAGCGCATGCTGACTCTTCCAGATGCTCGTAGACATCTCGCCAAGCGATAAGCGCATCGCTTTTTGAGTAAAGATAGCAACGTGGTGCTGTGGGGTCGAAATAGATAGGATCATTGATACGCCTTCGAGTCCGACTGATGACGTTGTTCTCGAATCCTTTGATACCGGTGTACAAAATCCATATGCAGCCCAGCACTACACTGGCGAATAGTATAGCAATGTGACGCACAACCGGTATTTGAGGTAGTGATTTGTTGAGGGCCTCGCATAAGCGTAGATAGCGTGGGTGGCCTGGTGTGCTGTCAAGACACAAGGCTGAGACCGGAAGCCGTGTCCCAGTGAACCTGTAGTGAGCCTCTGCTAACTCGCAGGCTTTGTTGCTTCCTCCTTCAGAGAAGACGTGTAACAGTACTCCACTGTTGAATTCTTGAGCAGCCAGATACTGGTAGTTGGAGATGCGTTCGATGGCGGGTCTCATGCGGGACTGTTTGCGTGCGGAGTTTCTGAAGCAGAGATCTTTCGCGGAAGTTGTGATGACCATGATACGTGATGACGGGAAAATAGCTCTGTATTCTGCTGTGTATTTGGCGATATAACGGTTCTGGGCTCCTGTCCATGTGCATAACAGAATAAGTGACGGTTCCACACCATTTTGCGATGAGACTGGTGTAGCACGGAATGGTAGCCGCGGATCATACACCCATATGGAGGGAGCGAGGAGCTGAAAGTCGGGGATTGTAGCGTTGGTAGTCTTGTGGTTTGGCATATTACTCGTCGAAGAGGTGGTTCCCGATGCGGAGATAAAGAAGTCCAAAGAGGCTGGTGACGATAGTGAGGCGGTTCTGAATACAATGCCACCTTCTTTAGTTGATATGTCCAATGTAAAGAGATTGAAAGACTCTGTGTATTGTCACTGTGGCAAGAATTCTGAACAAAGCAACGAGATGAGAACTTGGGGGATCCAGCATGAACACATCGGGATGCCGGAAGTCAACCGATACGTGATCAGAGACTTGTTGATGTCAATTGCGTACGCGTAGGGCGTTGGAATTCGGGCGGAAATTTCCATAGGATTGATCGACCATGCAGTGGACTTTCTTTAGCTCGCTTCATGTTTCCTATTCGGTTACTAGTCAGCGAGAGGGTACGGCGACCGACCATGGTCTGAAAGGAGAAAGGTTGTGCACGTTCTGTGCTGCAAAACATACTGAAGCGCATACGGGTCTTGTCCCGGTGCCGTTATTCAGTTGGGACGGTTCTCAATAGCAAAAAGCCCCTAGGCGAGGATCTCGGAAACGCTTGGTGTCCGTGAGGCTTATGCGCCCCTTCGAGTACGGCCCCCCCACATTCTTTTGGCATGCCAGCCACATGTTGGACTGTGCAACACAGCGGGAGTGCAGTGGTAGATGCGCTTCCCCGCTGCGCAAAGTCAAGGCCAACACTAGTTGCCGTGCTGACAATGAGCGATATGATTCGTCGAGCTGGTATAAGGCTTGGCTGAGGCTACTATCTGACAGCATAGAAGTGGGTGCCAGATAGTGCAGACACATCAGCTGCGCCTTGGGTCCTTCAAGTTGCCTTAGTGTTCGATTCTACGAACCCGGGCCTCGACTGGCTAAGAGCACGTGTCAACGCAGAAGCCGGATCGCACTCGCCGTTTGCAGCGATCATCAAAACATCCACCCGTGTCAAGATACGCCACGACTGTTACCCTAAGGGGACGAAGTTCTTTTTTTCCCGTAGGTTTGGGAGAACTCGTTCAGACATGCGGTCGGCCTGGGCGCGAAGGCAAAACAACGACATCGTGAATTAGTGCCACAATGTTCAATGCCTACGACGCAACTACAACCCGGGAGCTGCATATGTGTTTAGGTGAGCCTCGACCATAGAAGCGGGCGCTCGCTGTAAACCAATCTCCCAACTAGAGTTCGACTTCTGAAGCTAGATCGACACCCGTCTTTGCTGCCCAATCGACTCCCAGGCCACCATATCACTCACTGTCTCCAAGAGAATTGGTCTTTTGTCCAATCCTCGTTCCTCTTATTTCGCCCCCAAATGGCGGCCGGCAGTCGTCCGAACGAGACGACCTTTGAGAAGTGGGACTCTTCCTGCAGTACACCCACCGATGAATACAGCGAGCCTTGTGGTGCGTGGAAACACGACCACATCAGGTTTAACACAGGTAAGCATATCCCACAGCAGGGCTGTATATCCGAACTCTTATATCACCGTACAGTAGTGTGCATGGCGCTTCGTAGTGCTATGGTGTCGATGGCTGAGTCCACAGCCCATAAAGTTCGCTTGTGTCCAATGCTGGGGGACTCTGGCACACCTCAGCAAGAGTTCAGGGTTCCGAAGATTTTCCACTGACTGTTTTAGAACTAAAAGATTGGCCAAAATCCTCGAAAGACATTACAGCCTCGTCTGCCAAAGATCCAGTATCTCCTCACTCGCTGTGGATGACCGACAATATGTCCTTGGAGAATTTTGGAAGGAGAGGCGAGACTCACACGCCCGATGTCTGGAAGCCACAAAAGAAGGAGCTGGTAATCATGATCAGCCTAAGCTTCATATCGTTGATGGTGGCGCTGGATGCCACAATCCTAGTCACGGTACTACCGGTCAGTCATCCTCTTGCTCGGTGCCGTAAGGATGTTCTGACATACTCCACAGGTAATAGCACAAAAGCTTGATGGTACTTCGGCTGAAGCGTTCTGGACGGGGACATCGTACCTTCTCACCTCTGCCATCTTCCAGCCGGTCATCGCATCGATATCCGCTGTCTTCGGCCGGCAACAGCTCCTCATCACCTCGCTCCTCTTCTTCACAGTCGGTAAGTCTGAATGCCATTCTGTGTCATGGATGGTCGCTAACTATGCCTCCACAATCCAGGTACGATACTATGCTCGGTCGCAGATAATTTCACTGAGCTGCTCGGAGGAAGATGCATCCAAGGGATCGGTGGTGGTGGGATTATAACGTTAACGCAAGTCATCTTTTGCGACATCGTCCCGCTGAGACAACGCCCGAAATACTTCGCGATGGTTCTCGGATGCTGGAGCATAGGGTCCATCATCGGACCCGTAGTTGGTGGTAAGCTTGTGGAAAGCGCATCCTGGCGATGGGCATTCCACATCAACTATCCATTCTGCGCTATCGGCTTCGCTGTTGCGATCTTGTTCGTGCGCCTTGACGCGGTGGCGAAACTCACATTCCAGGAGAAGCTTAAGCAGGTGGATTGGCTAGGCGCAGTACTCTTCATTGGCAGCATGACGAGCTTGTTGGTTGGAATCTCTTGGGGCGGCATCCAGCATCCCTGGGACTCAGTTGCGACTCTTGCACCTATCATCGCCGGGATGACAGGAATCGTTGCGTTCTTCCTGTGGGAATGGTACAGAAAAGAGCACACCCTATTGCCTTTGGCAGTGTTCGGAAGCTGGAGCGCCATCGCCGCTTTTTACAACGCGCTGATTAATGGCCTACTCGTAAGTTCCCACTCAGTTATCACCCGTATACAAGCTCACATATCAAGCTCTTCACGACCCTGTACTACTGGCCATTCTACGATATGAGTGTTCGCGGGAGATATCCTACCCAGGCGGGTATTGACATGCTACCGGTCGTCCTCCTTACGGTTCCTAGTTCCGTCATTGTCTCGATATTGACAACGCGTCTTGGACGATTTCGATGGGCGATTTGGGGTGGCTGGATGGTTACGACACTTGCGTGCGGGTTGCAGGTCATGCTCGATGTGGATTCAACAACTGTTGTCACGTCAGCGCTTCTTGCCGTGTTAGGAATTGGCATGGGTATGGTACTGACAAGTCTCAATGTCGGTATTCAGGCTATTTCCAAGCCAGAAGACGCAGCAATGGCCGCCAGCATGTATGGCTTTCTCCGAAGTCTGGGTATGCCGATCGGTGTCGCCGTAAGTTAAGCCTTCATCCGATCTCCTTTCCCAATGCTGACTCCTTCAAGCTCGCAGGGTCGGTCTTCTCAAACTCCATGTCCGACAAGCTTTCAGAGCTAGGCCTGCCCACGTCGATCGCTCATGACTCTGAGCAATACATCTTCGTCTTGCGCAAAATGGCGGACTCCCCGCAGAAAAGCGCCATTCTTTCTTCGTACATGAGAGGGTTCGATTCGGTCTTCGTCATGGTCACAGGTCTCTCAGCTAGTGCGCTCATCGTCAGCTTTATGATCAGAAAGTTCAGCATGGACAAGATACTGGTTGCGCAATTCTCCGCGAAGTGAGTCGCGTTTGCCTAGGCGGTTACGCGATTCTCCCGGGATTGGACGAGCGTCGTCTTTTCATGTACATACACAGTAGGGTATTCAGACGAAACCATCAGAAGACTGGCTGACAAAGGTTGACGCGTACGCTCCCGGACTGGAGCTCGTGTGTTGTGGTTGGGTCGACGATGCAGCGCGGTGTCCAGCGCGTCATCTGAGGGGCTAGGCCCACGTAATCGCGCTGCCTCAGGAACGCGCCATTGCGGCGCAACAGTTCCTCGGCACGCATCACTACCACTACAATCAACACCGTTGCTTTAACCACGTCTGCCAAATACATGTGCAAGAGAAAAGTGCACCCTCTATCAGGACAATGCTAATCAGACGCGTGTCGCAACATCCACTGTCCCTCTCTTTACCCTGCCAATAGACTTGACACTTATGAAGCCGACGAGCTTCGCGTATGGTACGTCCATAGGGTCACACACGAAGATGACATGCCAATGTACTAAGCTTTGCGGCCAAGAGGTTTGGATCACCACTTCAGAAAGCTGATTGACATTCTTCTATGCACTATGATACGGAAATGACTGTAAAGTGACCGACTCCATCGAACGAATCGCACTGAGACTCTTGTACCCCGGGAAACACTCTATAGAGTCTAGCAGTAATTGCCAATGTTGTAATCGGGAAAGATATGGTTGGTACGGCAGGCTGGGCTGGCGCCTTTGACGTACAGTTCGGTTGCTGGTACTGTGTGTCAGCCTCTTGCCAGCCCCTCATCGTATTTCGAGACTTACTGTCTGGCTCGAAACCGTCCCACGGGTTCCGCACAATAGTCTGGCTCCTCTCTCCTGGCGTAAGATCGTTCTCACACTGGATTTGTTCGTCGCCACCATTGACAGTGGTGCTACCAGTCCAGAGATCGATGTGGTTTATGCGCGGGCTAGCATTCCAGTCGGCGTCACACTGAGCACAGAAGTCCTCGAAACGCAAGTACTTTCGCGTGTACGGATCCCATATAATCTCACATGGCTCAAACTCGCCGGGAGCCGAGGCAAATGTGAGAGGGTCGGCATAGGTGCCTGTACCGCCAGCCTCGTAGTTACGGCCACAGTCGTAAGCCGTAGCCGGACCAGGAGGATCATTGTCGGGATATCTAGGTACTGTTAATCGGGATCCTTAACCAGGGCTTCCGTCAATTGACATGCCCGTAGTAAGTATGAGTGACCTGGGTCACTCTTTCGCAGCCGAAAGCCACGAGGCTGAAGGAAGATAGTACAGCGAGTATCGAAGCGCGCATGGTGATGGCTAGGCTGGAGATGATTCTTGCGAGCTTTGGGTTGGATTTGGAGTCTTCCTCGAGATGATCGAACAGACTTTATACTCCACCTCACACCGCATGTCGATGGAGATCCGATGAAGAGACTGTACAGCCATTACTCTTTTCAACTTTAGTTCTGACATCCAGCGACAAATTTGGACGAGGCTCTGAGCACAATGGGGGCGCATCAGCTACAATTAGAACATCACGATCCGAAGCCAGGCGCCAATGGCGGGTCGGGGGTCCAAGATCGCTCTTCCGCTCGTATTCTACGGCCTTGGACGTGAATTGCCTGCTTTGTCACGATGTGTTTGCCCTCATCATGCATAAGGCTGACGAAGCTGAACAGATGATGTGACATTAATTAATGCGAACTGTCTCCGCGGGGGAAGGCTACGTCGACTAAAGCCGGGAGCGTGCCGTGTCGGGGCCAACCGCTGCGAAAGCCAATGAACGCGCATCTCATGGGGTTGGTGGCGCATTAGTTCGGTATCACGGCATACTGATTGAGCGCCGGATGCAGGATGCTCTCTGTAGAACTGCCTTGTACGGCTCCAGTTCAGCTCTTCGCCTAGCTCTTCGCCTACGTATGTGTGCTTCCCCGGACTACGATAGGCTGACAGCAACAGGGGTGATCAGGCTGGCTTATTTTCTTGCAGCGATCATTTCTTATCGCATACTGGACCTGTGAAGATGGAGCAACTTTCTGGATTCAGACAAGTGAGCCGCAATTACGAGCAATATGCTTCCGCCCACCTCTCCATTCTCTTGCTGCAACGCTTCCGGACTCAAGCAAGCCATCAGCGGCACTCGTATCAAGGAAGCCCTTTTCACTTTGCACCATCATGGCGTATTCGAGCTTCAAGTCTTTGATGACCTTCAGCCTTGTGCCTATCGCTTTTCTTCTTCAAGTTGGTTCTAGCTCGAGAATTGCGACATTCACAGATAGCCAGTGCAAAAACGCCTTCCAGAGCCTCGATGCGGAGAATGGATATGTAAGTTTTACTATACGAGCTGCATGAGACATACTGAACGTTTGCAACAAGCCCAATGGTACTTGCACGAGGCTTGCGGACCAAGGCAAATACGGAAGCTTCCAAGTCGTCGGACTAGACCCAGGCTGCAGTGGTAAGAGCGAAGTCCTGAACTATGCGGGGAGTTTCTGTCGTTGACCATATCAGCTACGATTTACGGATCCGATAGCGAAGAGTTTGTGCCATGCTCATCGACAGTCCTCCAGTTCACGAGCATAGGTGAATGCCACAATTCGTCCTTTGTCTATTACAGCATCGACGCGTGTACACCGCCTAGTCAGATTTCGTCATCGTCCCGCTCTGCAACACCATCTGCAACACCATCGACGTCTCCATCTTCGACACCGTCGCCCAGCGTAGCAAGCAAGCCTCGCAAGAGCAACACCGGTGCTATAGCTGGTGGTGTAGTCGGCGGCGTATGCGGGCTCGCTCTCATAGCTGCCGCCGTCTTTCTGCTTCTACGATGGAACAAAAAGCGTGATCAACCACCGGAAGCTCCCGCGGATGAGCGACGAGAGGTTGATGGAAGGAGCGCAATGGTCGAAATGCCACACCAAGGCCCCAAACATGAGATGGACTCGAAGAACATAGCACCACAGGAGCTCGGTGACAAGAAGAGTGTGGATCTACCACCGGTCGAGCTTCCAGGCGATGATGCTGCTCGACATTCCCAGCATATAACCGACTCTCAGCTTACTGCCAGTGAGAAGCGCTGAGATTTTTGGAGACAACTCTACAAGAGCTGGGAGAATGGGTCTGGATAGGAAGCGAAAGTAGGGAGAAGTTAGCGCCCGTTGTATATCCTCTTTACGCTAGGGCTGGTCCCATGTATTGTCTAGACACGATTTCGGATTCCAGAGCGTAGCTTTTTAGTCCACATTTTCTAGTTGTATCTGCTAGCACTGAGTGTAAGATACAATGCGTATCGTTATGTTATCCATGAGCCTGCAATATTATTAGAGTTGCTCTCGGTCGTTGTCGTAGACTGCGGCATAGTAGACACTTCACTCCACTCGGCTCACACGCTTTATTGAGAGACTTGACGATATCGTATCTTGATGAAGACTGTCCATTGAAGTCACGATGATACCAACTCCTCAAACTCTATCCAGAAACATTGGATGGTTATCCAAACCTAGTCATACCATCTATGTAGGTCGTTTGAAAGGATGTGCCTCGGTATTCAATACCCATTCATCCAAGCTAATCACGTCCTCCTCTGCAAACAAGAGGTAAAAGTACTTCAGCGTCTCCGCTAACCAGAAACTCTCCATCTCGTCGTTCAGTTCGGGCACTAGCTTGGTAACGTCGTCAATGGCCGAGTTACCGTACTCAGTGGTCGTGTGTTGCTCAATAGCAAGGAACATGCGCCAACCTGCGTCGCGCCAGTGACGATCGCCGGTTATGCGGTACATGTACCAGACGGACTCTATGGCTTCGGGGCTATGAAGATGTTAGAAATCAAGCTAGAAGACAATTTGGGGGAGGTGACTTACCGGAGAATGTAATTCTTGGCCCCGATCCTTGTAACGCCAGGCGGCAGACGATCCTCTTGAATCCTGTTCTGGACGAAGTCTTTGTGGTCCAGGACTGGCTGCGGCGAGTAGACGTATGGGAAATTTGGCAAAGTCAGATCAGGCTGCGGCGCAAGTTCCGCAATGTTCAGCGCAGGTTGGACTTTGGTTGGCGGACCCTCGCCCTCCTCAGACTCCCCGCCCATGACTGATTCGTGATCTTGCACGGCGCTCGCAGAAGCAGACGGCATGTGTGCAATTTCCACATCATCCACTAGCCCGGCGAGTTGACGCTTATCTAGCGTATCAGCGAATACCATGGTAGACGTGGCCTTGGCTTCAACTGCAGCAGCTACGGTAGGTGTGGGTAGTGCGGTCATAGCAGCAAGTTGTGCTTCGTACCACGATGAAGCAGAGTGGATCTGCGACTCGTATACTTTGCGCTGCTCTTTGTAACTCTCCATTCGGGCCTCATACCGTGGATCGATGTATTCCCAATAAGCCGTCTCGTTCCACGCACAGTCCTTCCTGTCTTCACAAGGGGCAACCTCGAACGATTCCGGCATGATGCCGGTTGGTGTCATGCTGTAACTCCAGACACAGCCCTCGGTCAACTTCTTCGCGATCTCGAGATCATCGGGGCGATCAAACAGCTTTGCGCCCATGCCAAACATGCCGCCGGCAAAACAGGTGAGATGCGCGTTTTCAGCGACGAGGTCACCGATTTTGGCATCGTCAAGGTTGGACGGAACATTCAATTTGCCAGAGAAGAGAACATCTTCCCCTTTCGGAAGCATCGGTCGGAATAACAAGTGCTTCTTGACAACATCCATCGACTGTTCGTACATGGATCGGTACTTCTCGATCTGACCACCGAGGAGCAAGTACTGTTTTGGTAGATATTCGTATGTAGAGTCTGACATTCCACCAAGCGTGAACTCTTCATGGCCATAGCTGGAGCTTGATGTGAACCCTTGGGGTATGCACTCTGGGGGCGTCGGTATGGTGTTGGAGGCAGATGAGGTCGAAGTGGCGCCCTGGGCATTGAGCGCCCCCTTCGGTGGCTCAGATCCATCGACATCAAGCTGTCGCCTTTTCACTGGGCTGCTGTCCCAGTTCTTGATTTGCGCTTTGTCGGCCGTTCCAGGGACTACAGAATCTTCCTTTGCGCGAGAGTCGACTGGAGAATCGTCTGATGCAAGCATGACTGGCTCTGGCAACTCCAAAGGCACGTACTTTTTGCCGTCTGGAGATAGTTCCTCGGTGGGAGAAGGGGTAGCAGGATCGGCCTGAGTTGACAGCTGGTCATTCAGGTAATCTGCTGGAGCTTTGAGAGGCTCTTGAGGAGGCAAATCGACGTATCGTCTACCACACCCGGAAGCGTCCAGGTACGTAGGCCACATCCCGGGGAGTTGACTTTTGCCTTGGAATTCCTCGAGATGATCCGTGATGCGCGCAATAGCATCGTAGTATTTATGCTCACCCGTAAGCTGCGCCAGTCGGGTGAATTCCATAGATAGGGAGCCTATCTCGGCAAGAACAACGTGCGAACTGGCGCGGTGCTGTTGGGATGCGAAATCGGGTCTCCAATAATAGTATGTCTCTGGCATGCGGTTCGGTGTGTCAAAGGCGCTGATGAGAATTTCGGCAAGCTCTACTGCCTTGCTTAGCAGGTTCTTGTACTTCTTGTCGCTCAAGTCGTAGGCAGCCAGCAGCCCACCGAGATAGCGAATTGTCGTCTCGAACAAGGGAATGTCTGCGCGTGGAGTAGTAGTGAAATCGATCTTGTCCACCGCTTTGACTGCCTCTTCGAAGTCATCCTTGAGTCCCATGATCCACAGAGTATCCAAGGCATCGACCAGCGTTGCGCCCCAGTGTGCGAAAGGATCCCTGAAAGTGCCCGACTGTGGCCGTAGCTCGTCGTGCAGCCAGGCATTCGCCTTGTATCCTTCCCATGACTTCTTTGCCACACTCCTGATCTTATCCAGCTTTGCAATCCTGTCAGCCTTGGCTATGTCATCTTCCTTCTTGAATTTGGCTTGTATCTTTGGTATGGTTTTGGGCGTGCCCGATGGCAGCTTGATGAGCGATTCGGGGGCTACGGGGAAATGCTCTGGGAGCTTCGTCCAGTGGATCGCATCGACTATCGATGATGGCTCTAATGCAGGGTTCGCAATAGCGGGCTGGCCGTGAGGTTGTGGCCGAATGGGTGTAGGGATAGAGGGCTTCTGCTGCTGCTCTGTGACAGCAGGGCCCGATGTCGACGATACAGCCGGAGTCTTTACAGGAGGTGGCGCTTGGAGCGACTGCGACGTGCTGGCAGCGGGCACATCCAGCTTCAGACTCCTCGTCTCGTGCGCCACAGCAGGGCGCGGCTTCGTGTCCGCCTGCGGAGCCTTCTCAGTGTCGCCCTTCAGGCCAGCTGCCCCAACCGCATTCGATGCGGCTTCTCTCCATGCTGCGGTCGAGCCCCCAAATTTGTATAGCGCTAGTACAGCAATGACAGCGAAGACTAAAAAGGCGCGGTAACGTCGATATCGAAACATGGCCCGAGGGAGTGTGTGGAATCGAAATGCGGGTGTCGGTTGCGCTGCGTCGCCGGGTAGGGAATGAGTGTGGAAAGAACGTATGGTATGACTACGTTGTCACTGCCATCGGAGCGCGAACGAGGGGGAAGGAAGCAAGAGTTCGAGCTACCAGCCAGCGAGTGAACGACAGTGGCTGTTTTGGCCGTCTTGTTTCCAACAGGCTTGGCATGCACGCCCTGGAGATCTATTGATGGGTCTGTTGTAGATCTTTCGCACGCCAAGTGCATCGCTGATTCAGAATATGTAGACATGCAAGTACAGTACAAGGGCTCTGGGAACCTGTCTTCTCCCAAGACACGTATTCATTGCTGTCGCTACCCATTCGGCGCTCTCCCAACTTCACGATGCCCTGCGCTACCGAGGCCATGCCCCCGCACCAGAGCAACATCCGTCCTAGCCGGACGCTAAATTTAAGCTTAAATCACCCTGGCCGGCACGGTCGGATAGGGGTCCAGTATTGCCCAGGTGGGCATCTTTGCACGTGTTTCAGCGTGCAGAATCCGTCCCTCCCTCGTGAACGAAGTCTCTTTACGCGACGACTTCACAGGTAGCAAATCTTGATTCGGAAGAAGAAAGCAGAAAATAAAACACAATCACTCTCCACGGAACTAGGTTGGCCATGTGACGTGGTCGTATTATTTTAATCTATTTAGACAGTCGGCATGCAACACCCGCGCGGATCAAGTTGTGACCCACGATGTAGCCTTT